TGTGAGGAATCCACTAACCTCACAACCATTGCAAGTCTTCCGTCACTAACACGTATATCACCATTCTGATGAGCGACACCACAACTCAGACACACACCTAACACTAACAGACGAGCATCTGCACAAATCCTCACCGCATACACCACTAGCGCCGTCCCTACACAACTTACATACACGTAATATGGGAATATCTACACAGCTTCAGCTGCACCCAAGTGCCCATCGCCCCAACACCCCTTAGCCGTGTCGACAACTCCCCAACATATCGCGACAACATACCAAAGGCCATCCTTACAAATATCAGCCACCTGCGCATAGCTTCAAGGCATGACAATACAGCCGTCACTTCAAGGGACAATGATCTGGCCAAATAAACACAAACACAATTGATAACTGCACAACTCCTCACGTTCCACCAAACCTCAACCGACTCAACGACTCGTCAAAGCATCACGGAAGGGGATCGACAAGCATCCCTACCGAAGTCACTTTACCTGCTTTGCTTCATGAGACAATGTTCTAGTCAAACAAAAACAACCGCCTAACACTATTAGGAAACCACAGACTTCACAACAAATACGAGTGTCCCGCGACTGACACGAGCGTCGCCATTCCGATAGACTGCACCATAACTCAAAGGCACATATCAATAAAAACCCCCATCACATGCGACTGGTGACGTCTCCATACAAATCGCATACACTTGGCGCAGAAGAAAATCATGCGACTACATCCGTACAGATAACCCCAGCGCTCCAACAATCCTTAGTCAGTCCGACACCTCCGACAGATATCACGAGAAGACACCAACAAACATGCTGACAAATATCGACCACCTACGCATGACACCAATGCATGACAATAGTGCAGTCCTCTCAAGATACAGTAGACCAGCCGAAAAAAAGACACCTACACAAAGTACATACACATAACCACACCGATTCCAAAAAACTTAACAAGGCCAACAACAGAGAGGAGTAACACGGGAAGAAACCAACAAGCATCCCTACGATTACCCGCTTTCCTGACCATGGCGCAGTTACCGCAATTTAGGTCCATACTCGAACGCAAAGGCCGAAATACTTACACAGTCAAGCGATAAAAATTTTCCATAATCATACCCGAATCAGCATGTTATGATCAACAATTTAGCCTAACACGAAGGGGAAACAAAGTGCAACCGAACCATGAAAGTAAAGTCACCAGTAGATAGCCGCACAGCCACTCCACAGACTAATCCCTCAATCCAAACCCGTGACATCAATATCATCTCATGGAAGCCGACAACTCCTCCGCCAGTATAGGCTCCCTTCCATAAAGTCCATCAGTGCCAATCCTACCATCCTTGTTACCACCACATTCACAGGCCATCCTCACCCAAAACAATTCGCTAATTCACCAGTACATTACGGCCTGGCACGCCCTCAATGTGCCTTTTCATCAGCTATGAATCCACAAACATTCCCACACGAAATCGGAGAATTTCATCCGCCTAGCAGCACTCCTCTCCGTCGTTATACTCTCCTTATGCTCCAGATACTTTGTATTCCTCCTCTTCTTCTCCATATAGGGAAAACACACACACCAGCAAAATTTAACTTCACTGATCACACGGCCGAAGCCCTCCGCAATATACACTTGTACATTGCATTCTATGACGCATATAAAGAATTCTCTAGTGGTTTGAAATTCAAATCAACGACTGCACCTGCATTCCACGGATGCAAATTTTATGAAAAAAGGGATAGACGAGTAGAAAAAACAATGAAATAAGCTCTTAGTACGAAATCCCCTCCACTTACCTTTATTTATCAAAAGCAAGATTAACTCCCTCCGCTAAAGTCGCTATTACGTGCTCTATTTAAAATAAACCCTGCGAAATTCCAGCGTGCTAGACACACCAACGCTAAATTGAGCAAAAGGCTGGCGCCGTGGTAGCAGCAAGCATAAACACATGTGCATACTGACAACAACGTCTTATTTGCCTGTCATAAGTTCAGGTGATCTATGCGTTATAATTTTATTCTTATATAAATCACTACCAGTTAGACATTCTTCAAATGTAAAATAAATGTAGGTGTTCGGATTAATCCAAAATAATATACTTGTCAATCCAGTCCTCATTTACGCACGTTTGCTG